AGGCGTCAGGCGCTGTTATAGCACCGCCGCAGCCCTGGCTGCAGACGTCGTATTTCCCTTGGTACTGGGGCTCTGAGGTTGTTCTGCCTGAGCAATACACCCCTGGGGTGAGTTTTACGACACGTTAAAATTAACTGATGCTTGTCCGAGGCAGGGGCTGTGCAAAACACGGCGCAGCTCGACGGTGGAGCTGTAAAACCAAAACCCGCGCAGCTGACGTTCCCGTCCTTACCCTGTGCCTTTGTACCTGAGCCTGTGCAGAGCCCTCAGCCGTGGGACTGCAAGTCTCGTTATTTTCACCCCGTTCGTACGTGAACGCAAAGTGCTCCTCCTGCTAACTGCGTCCGTTTGTCAGGCGAAGCGCTCCGATTACCACTTCGGGGATGGGGGAACCGCTCCAGGCGGGCGGTTCCTTTCAGAAAGCGGCGGATGTTTTCCTGCCTCTCGGCTGAGTGTGCCGCAGCTGATGAACGAGTGCTCTTTTGGAGCTGCTTCTGGAACGCCGCGGATTTGACGGCGTTTCCCTCGTGCCGTCTGTACCCGAATCGGATGCCGTGTGTTGCTTTGGGGTTGAGGAAGGCTGATCTTGCTGGTCCCTGGGAGAGCTGGGTTTGGTGGGAGCTCTGCCGTCACCCCTCTGTGGCCTCCGGTGATGCACGAGGTTTCTGAACCTCAGCGTCTCATCGTAGAGCTGTTGACGGGTCCTGCAGTGTCTTGAGTCGATGATGGCGTCCCAGCCTAAACCAGTTGTTTCCGGTCACTTTGTTTTGCGCTGTGCTGCCCAGAATGAGACAAGCTGTTTCATTACCTTTCATTCTGCCTTTGTTTTCTCGACCGCGTTCTTCTCCGGTGATGCACGAGGTTTCTGAACCTCAGCGTCTCATCGTAGAGCTGTTGACGGGTCCTGCAGTGTCTTGAGTCGATGATGGCGTCCCAGCCTAAACCAGTTGTTTCCGGTCACTTTGTTTTGCGCTGTGCTGCCCAGAATGAGACAAGCTGTTTCATTACCTTTACCTCTGCCTTTGTTTTCTCGACCGCGTTCTTGGATGCGACTCGAGTGTTCCTTACTCCAGCAGATGATGATTTAATGGGAGGGAAGGAGTTGGCGTTTTTCTGACCCATCATGGCACTCCCTGTGGCTTGCGTTGAAAAACCAATACCTGTTTACCTCTCCTGGGTGTCGGGTCCCCCCCGAGGGTCGCGGTTGAGGCATGGGCAGCTTGTCCCTGTCCGTCGCTGCTCTCCACTCTGCCTCAGGCTGGCGTGGAAGACCCCGGAGTCGGATAAGCAGGAGGGGAGGGGGAGCCGTCTGTTGCTGTAGCTTGGCTTGCGGGTGACGGTGTGCTTGTCCTTGGGGCACCCCAGCCCTTTGGTGACCCTGAGCGTGTCTGTCAGCCTGTGAAATTGCAGAGGGAAGGTTCGTGCTTCCCCCGGTGCAGCCAGCTGCGGGGACACGAGCGGCTGGACTTCATGCCATGATACGTGTCAAATGGGTGGGTGCTGCTGCGGCATTCCTCAGCTTTCTCAATGTCCCTTTTCAGGGGGAGCCTAGCTCTTCAACTCCTCAGATTTTGGGGTGTGGGGGGGGTTTTTTGGTGTGTTTGTTTACTGCTCTGATTCTTCTAGATTACCTTGTGTGGCGAAGCATAGCTGCAGGGACGGTCCTTCGGTCGGGCCAGGCAGGGTCGCTCCCCGGAGGCGGTGCAGACGGGCTGTGTTGGCAGAGGAGCTGGTGTGTTCGGCGGGGGCTGGAATGGAAGGTTAATGTTTTGCTCTTCTTCCCTCAGGCACCTCAAGGACGTGATCCTGCTGACAGCCATGGTCCAAGTGTTGAGCTGCTTCTCGCTCTACGTCTGGTACTTCTGGCTCTTGGTAAGCCCCTGCGGTTTTCCTTGTTGCTCTGCGTCGTCCCTGTCTTTCCCTGTCTTCAGGACTGAGGACATTATTTATCCATTTCATTTCAGTGTCCTGTTTCAGGCCAAAACTATTTTCTGATAAATTTTTTAATCTCCCTGTCAAATCTTGTTAAAAGTGAGACCGTACGAGGGAAGGAAGTCCTGATCCCTTTGAGTCAACCACGCAAAAACTAGGCTGGCCTTGGCCTTTCTCTGGTCCTGTGAAAGGACGACGAGGAACACGAGGCAGGTCAAAGCCATCTTTGTGCGTAGAGCCTTTTTGTGGCTGCGGCAAACAGACTGTGCTGCTGCCTGTTTGGTTGTCTCAGTCATTCACCAGCATGGACTGAGGCTGGGAACTGCCGGACGCTGTGCCGCTTGGTAGATCAAACGCCGTAGGCTTCGATTTCCCCTTAACACAACCAGACGCTTTCTACTCCCGAGGCGTTTGTCGTGTGCCTCCAGGTAAAACTGCTTTTGGAGAAGGACAAAAAAAATCTCCAGTTAGTTAAAAAAAGTCCCACGGTTGCTTTGAGTATATCCCGCGAAGATACGTAAAGCAATCTTGGGAGCGTACAAAGTTACCTTGTTTCAGTCCTTACTCACAGGTTCGTTTTAGCCGGTTCTGGCAGAGGGCGGCCTAGACTCCGACTGTCCCCCGGAGACCATCCGGGTCACGCTGGTTTTCATTTAGAGAAACGTGGGTGTTTTTTCTGAAGGAGGGAGAGGCAGAATGTCTGGGCAGTTGGATCTTTCTGGGTAATTCAGACCTGATGCTGGGATTTCCGTATACGAAGCCTGAGTGCTGTATACGTGTGCAAGTTCCTAAACCGTATGAAATCAGGCCATTTATTTTGGACGCCTGCCACTGCCTTTGATTTCCGTGCATCCCGTGATGCCCCTGATCCAGCCTGTAAAGTTACTCCCAGCTCCTTCGGCTTCCTCGGTAGGACCAGCCCTCCTGACCGTAACACCACCCCTGCCAGAGCTGTCCCCAAAGTGACCGACTTTGTGCCACACGTGTTTTGCAGGCTCCGGGACGCGCTCTCTACCTCCTGTGGGTGAACATCCTGGGGCCCTGGTTCACAGCTGACTCTTCGCCTGCCGGTCAGGAACCAAATGAGAAGAAGCAACGCCGACAAGAACGCCGCCAGATGAAGCGCTTCTAGCCCTGCCTGGGGAGATAGATTAACGCCATCTCTCATCTCCATGCTGTTATTTCATCAGGGATGCAACCGAAGCCAATCCGAAACCATCGCAGTAGCTATGCTGCCCTCTGTCATTGCTGCCATTCCGCTAGAAAGGCTGCAAGAGACTTCCCTTGGTTGGTCCTTAGCGCCAGCCGAGGCCTTGCTCCTTGGGACGACAAGGGGGGGGTGATGCTGGGATGTGTGTAAATACCTTTTTAAAGCAGCGCTGTATCGCGTTCGAGGTTGGGGATTGCAACGTTGGGAGGAAATAGTACATTAAAGAGCAGAGTCTAACTGACCGTGCTGGCAGTGTGTTCGTACAGGGGTGCTCGCGGAGGGAAGCCGTTAAAAATGCCAGCGTGTTCTTGGAAACCGGGCCCAGAGGGAAGCAAAATCCCCCAAGACAAGTCGTCTCATCCCTTCCCAAGCTTGCTCTGTGCTGCCCTGCCTGCCGGAGCGTCCGCACGCTGTGGAGGGGCTGCAGCTGCCCTGCAAGATCGGAGAGCGTCCGCATGCTGCGGAGGGGCTGCAGCTGCCCTGCAAGATCGGGCGTGTGGGGCAGCTGGGGGTGCTGTGAACAGGGCTTGCAGCCAAACTTGGGAGCTTTTGGGTTTGAACCTGGGCTCTTCGGAGCCACAAATTGGCCTGTGCTACCTTTGCAGGAGCTCAGTGGGATGGAAAGCTACAGCTAAAAGAAGCCGAAACTAAATCTGGGGGTGTGTTTTGTGGTTTTTTTTCCTTCTTTCTTTTAAATCAACTCTCCCAGGGGTGGCACAGTCGGGCTGCCATGACTGCTGCAGACACCATGCGTTAGAGACCAGGAACGGCAGCTTCTGCTTTTGCCTACTTCGATTTATTAATGTTGTCCCTGCCCAGTATGTTGTTTTACACGCTCCGGTGACCCCTTCCTGCTCCTGACGCACCAGCTCGGAGGCATGCAGCTTTGCCTGTGCGAGCGAGACGCGCGGTCAGAGGTCACAGTGGTGCCAGCCTGGCTTTTGAGGCTACCTGCAACCTTTTGCCCACTCGTCGTTTCCATTACATCATTTTTATTACACGCTTTTTCCTTACAACAAGCCCGATCCCCACCTTGAGTCCTCCTGTGCCTCAGAGCCAGGCAGAGTGGCTGTAGTTGGGGTGCAGAGCGATGGTTCATTGTGGGCAAATATCTTGGGGGGGCGGGGGGGGGGGGGGGGGGGGAG